ATATAAGCGATACAACCCATGGACCAGATCCTTGATGTATAATAAATATAAGAGATGCAAGCCATGGACCAGATCCTTGATGTATAATAAATATAAGAGATACAACCCATGGACCAGATCCTTGATGTATAATAAATATAACAGATACAAACCATGGACCTGATCCTTGATGTAAGCAGCCTGGTTTGTGTCTCAGCAAGTAGAAAGTGCCACGCGCAAAAGGGGGAGACCATGCTCAGCTATACAGATGCCAATTCATTTACGGGTCATTGCACTAACACATTACACTCCTTTCTGATGCATAACACCACCATGCTCAGCTATACAGATACCATTTCATTCACGGGCCATTGCACTAACACAATACACTCCTTTCTGATGCATAACACCACCATGCTCAGCTATACAGATACCAATTCATTCACGGGTCATTGCACCAACACAATACCCTCCTTTCTAATGTATACCATTGCCGCCACTCTAAAATTCATGTCCTGTCGAAAACGCTCTAAAAGCACTTTTACTGTCCTCGAGACCACGCTGAGCTTCGATATAACACGGTTGAAGATTTTGCGCCAGGTTTTCAGAATGATTATTTGGTTTATGTGAGCTTCTTTTGTATGTACAGTCGTTACCAAGGCATGCGGCGGGTGCGGTCCCTTTTACGGAATATGCCATTTTAGGATTTATGTTGGGTATTAGCTTTCTAGGACTGGATAAGATCGTTGACGGACCAGTCCTCGAAACTGCCATCGGGAAGGTATCGCCTGATTATAATCGGGATGAGCTTTTCTGCAAAGGGACGGTGTTCCAAAAAAGAAATCAATTGAGTTGACCGCAGTGGAGGATACCCTCCCCACATTGTTACTGACCCACAGAAACCGTCTACAAAATCAGAAGTGTTGATAGAATCAGGCCACTTGTAGTAATGGTAATACAGCGACTCACGGCGTAGCTATGTCATCGGCGTCGCGGCAGTGCGCTACAACGATAGCTTGGTATAAGCCTGTCTGGTGTTTCTCCGTGCATTCCCTAGGCGGCTCAAGCGCAAGCTGTGTGCACGTGTCTATATACACACCCGAATACAGTCCCACCCATGCGATATCATTAAATAACACAGCTACACACAGAATCGCATCATTTCTGTTGAACATCCTCTACATATGTAGAGGGCGCGCCCACTCCACTGCGTATTGCATACCTGTAAGTTCCTTCATAGCTATTTGTAGTGGATCAGACTCTCCTTGTAGTTCGACCATAACCGGCGCATTCATACTGAGAAATCATAGCGAATTGTAGTGGTTAGTCAACTGCTGCGATATTTAATTAAGACACGATGACACAAGGGGAAAGCGAACCAAGGAAATTAAAATCATTTTCCAACTGCCTTCTATTGACTACCGATATTTACACATACGAACATACATATACAGGTACGCGTACAGGTACACATACGCATACGTATCTCCATGCATATACACATATACACATAATTATATATATATAATACATATATGTATATGTACATACATATACATATACATATACACACACACACACACATATATATATATATATATATATATATATATGTGTGTGTATACATATATATATATGTATATTTATATTTATAATTATATATACATACATATATATATATTTATATATATACATATTTATATATATACATATATGTGTGTGTGTGTGTGTATTTATGGTTACATACATACATACATACATACTCACACACCGCATATATATATATATATATATATATATATATATATATATATATAGGTGTGTAGATATAGTCCAGTAATCTATTGCTGGTATACCTATCACATTTGTTGCAATTTACAAACTAACTCTTTGACACGAACATATGCTCAACATACAACTCACCTTATTTGTAACGCACGTGCTCCTAACACTCTCGCCCTCTCGTACTTGGTCAGATAATGTGTGGTGACGCGTTCTTCGTTGACGCCGCTGTCTACTGCATCTATAGTACGGCAAGAAGAAAGAGAAGAAGAAAAACACCAAAACAAGCTTAAGAAGAATTGAAAGTATTGATTTTTGGTACAATCAAGCTTTGTGGTCGACATTGTCAACCACAAACATAGGCCTGTACCTATGCATGGCATCGAAATCTCACAGGCGCTACACCACACCAACACTTCACACCGAATAATCACTCACAGATGATTTCACAGACTATGAACAGACAACTGTATTCAGTTTACACACAGGCTCCGCAACCAACTCGACTACACTCTGTGAAACATCCCATCTATTTACTTACCAGCGGCAGAAACGAACTCTGAGGCCTCCTCATCGTGTTCATCTAGAGCGTTCTATGCAACCCAAACACGGACCGGAATGTTAGTTGAGATACGGGCTCGATATTTTTGATTTCATTCGTCGCGTTTCAATTAATTAATATTCGCGATGAGACACAGTCAGAATTGCACATAATCGGCAACCGATGCATCCGATGAAATCGGTTAGTTGTAAATTGCTAAAGCACCAGTGCGTGACAGAGCATATGAGAATGGGACATGCGTGCCTATCAATATGTGTGGGTACATGGTGTATGGCCGTAGAATATAAAACAAGAAGATACCTAGCTATTGAGCTTAGGTCTGAACCAACGAGCCCGTACAAGTATGTCAACTGCAATTAAATGTAACAAGCGCTTGTACTAGCACGGCCACACAGCGCAACCCTGTGGTACTGAACAGTGATGTCACAGCACGACCACGGATATCTAAAGACAGGTGTGGGTGCGGAGAAAAAAGGGAGTCGCTCACACTAAGGCAAACGAAACGCACTGATAGTCCGAGAGTTGCATTCGCAGAACCAAACATAGAATGAACAACCATGTAAAATGCTCGAGTGACCGATAGAGATAGATTACCATGATGATACACTCTGTACCCATAAGGTATTGCAGAAAGGGAGATATATAAGTAACAAACATACCTAATGACATATATCGATGAGAAAATCTGACAAAAATACGGATACACATACGGATATACAAAGGGATATAGATGAATACAAAGACAAACACGAAATAACAGGACGAAAAAGATATCAGTATAGATGAAAAATAAAACCAGATTTACATATGGATATATAGATATAAGTACATATAAACAGTTGATGATAACGATATAGTTAAAAGATATAGATATGTTTAAAGCTATAGATTTTTAGATGTATATATAGTTTAGATATATATATATATATATATATATATATATAATATAATATATATATATATATATATATAATATATATATAGATATACAGAATTATAGATGCACAGATATATTGAGATATATATATATATATCAATAAATATATATAGACATATATCTGTCTAATTAACTATCTATATATATATATACATATATATATTCGAATGATTATGTATACATGCTTTACTCATATATATATATATACAAATATATACGAGTAATACATTTATACAATATATATATATGAGTAATGCATAATATATATATATATATATATATTCGTATAATTATGTCAACATGCTTTACTCATATACATATATATATATATATATATTAAATATAAATATATATATATGCATGTACGTATGTATGTATGTACTTGTATATAAACATATAAATATATATATTATATATTATATATATATATACATATATATATATATATATATATATAAAATGTATATATATACATATATATATATATATAAACTAAAAGATATATTTATAATATATACATATATACATTTATATATATTATAGAT